ATCCATCCATCCATCCATCCATCCATCCATCCATCCATCCATCCATCTATCCATCCATCCACTCAACTGTCTACCCAACCACACACCCATTCATCCTTCCATCCAGCCATACTTATGCATTCACGCATCCATCCAACCATATTCCTACCCATTCGTAAATTTCATTATCCATCCATCCATCCATCCATATATCCCTGCATCCATTTCCTTTTTAATCTGCTTTCTCTCTGAAGGACGACTTTGGGTGTGCAAGACCCATGAAGTACTTGGCTGACTCTCAACCTATATATAGCAGGGATCTGAGGAGATGAGGTGATCAGAGCAACTTTGGCAGCTGGGGGCTAGCACTCACAATGTCTAGGCTGGTCAGACTGCCAGAATCATGGCTGTGGATCAAACTATTCAGATACAGGCGACGAAAATGGTCAGGTGAACTTAAGGTTGGTTTCTCATAATGTGGGGCTCCGAGAAGCAGACCCACAGGCTGCTGTCACCAATAAGGAAAGGGACTCTTCTGCCCCTCAGACGCAGGGCCTGTTGGGTATCTAGCACTTCACAACCATAACACAAGAAACAGACCCTAAGGTAGGAGCCAGGCTGGGGTGGGGGTAGGATGCGCCTCCAAGCTTTTTGTAAGACTTGGTGTTTGATTACACAATTAGAAGCTCCGAATAATTAACAGAGAAGTTCATTTGAGTCGGTTCTGCTTGCTTGTCCCCTAAGTAATCAAATTAGGGAGTATTTAAAATCCAGCCGGAGGACGGAGCAGAGCTCCAGCCTTATACCCAGTGTTTAAACAGTGCCCCTTCTGAAGCCTGATTTCAGGCTAACCAACAGGCAGCTTTGGTGTTCCACGGCATCTTTCATGACCACGGGGCTTTTGGCTTTCTCCTTTGCTAAGGCAGCCCCTGCTGAGCAGCCAGTGCCTTCTTGAAGTTCAAAAGCAACCTCCTTCCCCTTTCAAAATTAAATCCGGGCCCAGACAAGCTTTTGAAATCTTAAATATTCAGGTCCAATCAGGAAGATAGAAGCCTTCCGCTAATGCTGACTTCCAAGGCGACCTGAAGTCTATTGCGACTTCAAGCGGTAGGCTAAACGAAGTAAAGCTGCATCCGGATCCCTGCAGACCTTGGGAAGCCCTCCACGCTCCCTCTGCAAAGCTATTGGTAAGGGAGAGGCCAGGTTGGGGGAACCGGTCTCTCTGATGCTTCATTCTCAGTAGTAAATAAACCCCAATGGAGGATCAATAGGCGGGGAAGAAAGATCAAAGGCAGTCGGGGCAGGGAAGTCCACTCTGCACCTTGCCAGGGAGGCTAAAAACTAGTTGGTGAACCCCCACTATTAGCACTGTTCACCAAATGGAACCCCACTTCCCTGTCTCCTGAATTTGGGTGTCTTTCTGTGACTTGCTTTGTTAAAAACAAAACAAAACAAAACAAAAAACAAAAAAACATGGCCATAGTGTGACAGTAGCTCTTTGGGCAGATGCTTTCCCAGCCTGTCGTGAAGGAGCAGATTCCTTGTTCTGCTGATAGTGGGAGCCTGAGTTAGACAAAATCCCTACTTGCCTGGTTTCCTGCATGGCCATAATGAGAAAGGCCCTGGTGTCAGGTGTGGAGGCTGAGCCAAAAGCCAGTTTCAGAGGTGAGAAGGACGAAGGGATGACTGCTCATTTAGCACATTTGACTGATTTGTTCCGGGACTTCGGGTGTCTGTCCTTGAGTGTCAGAACCTGCTGTTCTGCTGGAGTTTACCTGACCCGGCCTTCTGTATGTGTGTGTGTGTGTGTGTGTGTGTGTGTGTGTGTGTGTGTGTGATTTGTGCAGGGTTATTTAGCTTCTCCCAGCCTCAGGCCCCATCTGGACCATCTATAAGATGGGGCTCAGGGCCTGAGCTGGGCCGATAGATCATGTGGGTGTGAAAAGAAATGAGTCTCAAATGGGCAAATCCAGCTCAGCTATTACAAAGATAGCACACTTTCATCAGAGGAGATCCTGGCTTGGCTTTGAGAAGGAGCTGGCAATGGTGGGAAGCAGGTGGGGCAGGCAGCTCTTAAGGGGAGGAAGCTGTGATTTTCAGACCATCATTGTTCCCCTGCCGATGCTTTCTGGGGGCGATCATTTCCCAGAAATCAAGGAGAGAGAGCCCTGGCTCATCTCTTTAAACGGTATCCTCCAAGCACATTTTGTTCTCGGAGGTCACTCGACGATGTCTATCTGTCAGGGCAATCAGAACAATTTTCGCACACACTTACTCTCACTTTCTCAGCTCCAATTTAGGGTAAAGTGTGTTCTTCTCAAGATGAAAATCTCGTGGGCTGGTTAGGATGTGCTCCAGGCTCTGTGGCTGAGGGGAGGAAGTGCTGATTACACGCCAGGGAGGCCGCAGTGGTCCAACCTCTTGGAATCTTCCAGGCCTGGTAGCCCTGTCCTGCTTTCCTCGGAAATAAGATGACTGGATGGCCGTGCTGTGTTTTTCCACTCCTGAGGTGTTGACTTGAGTATCAGAGCGAGGAGCGATGTTCTTGTGTTGGCTGGGAGGAGGAGAGTGGGAGGTAAAGCAGGTGTTTTACTCAGAATGCCCATGCTAAGAGCATCTTCCTTGTTGATCAAACTGAAAGCAAGCCTTTCCCCTCACTGAAATATTACCCACCAGATTCCTTGTGATTGTGCTTTTGCTAGTGCAGATTTTTAAAAACTCCACTTATTATATGTATACGAGTGTTTGCCTGTTGTCTGTGCACCACATGCATGCCAGGTTCCCACAGAGGTCAGAAGCAGGCATTGGATCCCCTGGAAGTGGAGTTACAGATGGCTTTGAACCACCACGCGGCTGCTGGGAACCAAACTCTGGTCCTCTGCGAGAACAAGTGCTCTTCGTCTGTGGGTCATAACTCTAGACTGGCAGATTATCTCGGTCTTTGCATGTTTATTATTGATTACATCCTCCAGCCCCTTTCCTGGAAGGGAAGGTCCAGTGGACAATGGTGTGGCTCACTTCCTTTACCGTGATAATCCCAGCAGTGCTTGGGAACGGTCTCACATGACAAAAAGAGAGCCTCAGAAATGGTTAAATTAGAAAATTGGTTATTATGTGGGTTGTTCAGAATATTGCTGTATGTTTTCACAAGGATGAAAACTTAATCTCCGGAGTGTAGTCATTGATAACCTCCAAGGCAGGGAGGGGATCGGATGCAGAAGGGTCTTCTTCTGTTAAGTCAAAGAGCACGCTTTTACACGCACTCTGCAATTGCAAAATTGCATGTTCAGAACAGCTTCTGAAACTATTTTATAGGAGAAAACTTAAATATATTTAACGTTGAATCAGATCCTGCAGGGTCACATTCTGGAAGTCTGTCCCAGATGGTGGTGGTGTTTTAGATTTGGAACCTTTAGGAGGAGGCACTGCTGGTAGCAAGAGGTCACTGGCCCTGAGTGTCTGGACTCAAAGTTAGGATTAGCGGCAGCTTGCTAGAATGCAGATTCTCAGGCCCCACCCAGATCTACGAACTCAGCAGTTTGACGGCACCAAGATCTTCAGTTACTTTGCTATACTGCATAGATGGAGAAGCCTTGCACTCACGGGAATGTTGTACACAGTGTAAAGCAAGCAGCATATACATTAGAGCGTAAAAGCTGGTCTTCCACCCACCTGGTCTTCTGACAAGGCCCATGCTGTCTATCTGGGAC